GTGCTTCAGAACATGGCTGATGTGCTCTACTTTCATAGTTCTATTGAGAACACAGGCAGCAGAGTTTTGGATCAGCTGCAGCTGTCTGATGGACTTTTCTGGTCACTTTCGCAGTGATCAATTCTGCTAAAGATAAAGGCATGAATGACTTTTTCGAAATCCTGCTTGAACATTTATCCATTATTATTGTAAATGTTCTTCGGGTGTTAAAAGGCTGACTTAGTAACTGCCTTTATCTGCAAGCCTTTATATTGGGGTTACAATCCAGAGTTCTGGAATCAGCAATGTTGTTCCAGTCCATAGTTAAAAAGAACGAGATCAAATTTCTGTTAACACTGATGAAAATGAACTAGTTCACCTTCATAGTTCATTTTTTCAAAAATGACCTAAGCTCACAATCCTATAAATGAATTAGTTCAAGTACATTTGGTAAATTAAGCCACAATCCTTCACAGTACAAACTCATATTTCACCCTTTAAATGCATAATCATAATATATAGAAAGAAATGGAAAATACTCAATGCAGTCAAGGTATACTGTATGTGCAGTGAAGCCTTTATGTAAACAGATTATACAGAACTACAGAAACATACCGGAATATTCAGGTTCTGCTGAAAATATCTGTATCAAAATTTTCTGATTTCTGATGTTGTTGATTTTCCTCATTCAGTAGCAGATATTTCCCAAGAAAGCCAAGAAATTTGAAGTGGACCAGATTGATGTATGGACTTGTTGTTAAGTCTATGGGAGAATTATCCTGCCATAATGCAAGAGCACATCATTTCAATATGAGAAAAGAATTTCATCTTCTTGCACTCAAAACTTATAATGCTCACACTCAAAACATGCGCTCTCTCTCAAATCTTTGTTTCTTCTCTCAGATTTAATGCTTCTTGCACAGATATTTTCTCCTCTCGCTTGCCTCCTTCCCTTCGCGCACAAACCGCACTCTGCTCGAGTCTCAGATACGCTCGCAAACCCGTAGGCTCTGCTCTCTCAGATTGCAGTTGGATCGTCGCCTAGCAACCTTTCCAGCCAATAGAACGACAGCCTCAGAAAGGGTGCGCTTGTCTAACTCTACTGAGTGTGCCTGTGATAAACCTTACTGACAATAAAATGGCTTTTTAATTTAAAAGCTATTAAAATAAGAAGCTGAAAAACAACAACAATCAGGAAAATAAAAAAAGTCACTTAATTTCTGCTTGAGGCAGAAATAAAAAAAAAAAAAAGTTTGCTAGTCAGGGCAGATGCTAATTCTGCCTCCAGCAAAAATTAAGTGACTTTTCATTGGTGATTCTTGAATCACCCTTTATTATTTCCTTTTTTTTTTATTTTATTTTCCTGATAATTATCCCATATAAGTCCCAGTGGACACAAAAACGGTTTACTCTATCCATGTCTTCATTAATCATTTAACTCTACCAAGGGCTCTGAAAAACTGGCATCAGAAATACCAGCAGATGAGTCTGAATGGTGCAGACTAGTACTAGCAGTAGACATGCTGGTTTGTCATGCTGTTTGCCGTAATGAGTGCAGTAAAACCTGACATTATCCTTTGAAATGTGTCGTTATCAATTGACCATGAACGTGAGCTGTGTGTGTCACTCATTATTCTCAGAGTGAATGTTGCTCTCATTCAGGCTCATTACTTCAAAACTGATCCATTCAGTTCATCCCTCACTAAAAATATGAAAGAATTTGGTGAACCCTGTTTATTGAACACATTTAAGCAATACACTGGGAGTCAGTGATCTAAAGTTACACAATGGAGAGTAAAAAAAGCACTTGGTGAACTAGCAATTCAAGTACCACAGAACAACAGATTAACAAATTGTCAACAGATCATCTGTTTAAATCAGTAAAAAATGATGAATGAAGGCAGATAAAAATGTAAGTTGTCTACAAGTTTTGGTATTTGAAACACTTAGAAAAAAACTTACACAATATAACAAATTCTCACAAAAAAAACACTTTCAGTTTCAAAAAATCACTTTTTCTAACAGCATAAAACTTTGAAAACCAATTTGTATAGAAGGTAATGTAAAAGGGCAACATGCTTCCAGTGTCAAAAATGTATAATTTACTTTGTGTTCATTTAACTTCGAAAGGCTTATTTGTTTCAGTATCTACAGTAAATACAGTGCAATAAAATCAGCGACTGTAACTTGGTTGGGCATCTTGTTTTTCAGGGGGACCTGGGTGCTTGTGGAGCACCTGGACCTCAAGGGCCCAAAGGAGACAGAGGATCTGAGGGGACAAAAGGCCCTCGGGGATTAGCTGGACCAATGGGTAAAGAGGTAGGTGCAGCAAAGATGATTGTGAACGTAGCTACGCAGAAGTCATTCCCTCGCAGATGGGAATGTGTTTTAGGGTGGTAGAGAAATTGTAACTTGTTCATAAAGCATGAAATTAAATGTTCATGAGGGAGCAATGAAGAGAGTACTTAAACCCGATCTCTTTCAGGTTGGCAGCCCCTGTAATTTCCCTTTTGTCCTCAGTTGTAGATGAGATGTGCCTGGCACCCTCGGCACATATGGATGCCAGCTTCTAAAGCATCTCACAAGTAAAGGTGTCGCTCTGGTTCTGAATACAGAGGCTTGCAAAATAATTAATTAGCTCAGAACTTTTCCACAGTGTGTGATGTTAAAAAACAACAACAAAAGAATCACAGGACTTCATTGTAATTTGAAGACACCATATAAAACAAAGAATGAGGATGGAAAATGTATGATTTTTAATTTGGTTCTTAAGTAGAGATCTGCTGGATTTCTCTACCAGTTTTTTACATATTTAGAGACTGAGATGTTTTCTATTCTTCTTTACAAAACAGCTAAAGTTAAGTTAGATTGAGTCTCTGATTTACAGAAAACAAAGTTTGACTATAAATGCTACTGAAATACTGACAATGTTAGACTATTTTCTAAATTTCCACAGATCTATCATTTCTAACCCAACATAAGGTGGTATAGAAAAAGAAATAGCAATTTTTTAATTTATTTTATTTCTTTGAATTAGGACAATGCACATTCATCAACATGTCAGCATTAAGCATCAATGTAAATATGCCAGAATTAGCACAACAGCTAATTTGCATCCGCTGTCCTAAGGCAGGTAAAAACACTGAACATTAAACAAGACGCTACAGGAGAGAACACAGTGGACACAAACAGATGAGATGCCAATAACATAAAATCACAATAAAGTTAGGTTAACAATAAAAATGAGGTTTACGGGCCCATGGAAACAGATCAATTTACCTGTGAACACATGTCTGATTAGTTTTCAACCAATGTTTCAAGGAGAATTTAAAACGTATGTAGGTTACACAGCCCCTAACATGAGCTGGCAGTGTGTTCCATAACTGTGAGCCTCTGGTGGAAGCAACCATTTGGCCAAATTTGGTCCTACGCCGCTGAACATTACAGTCTCCTCTGGTTAAAGCTCTACTGTTTATTCTAGTAATGTTTTTTTGCTTATAAAATCTGTTAGAGGAGGAGGAGCAAGTCCATTTAAAACTTTAAAAACAAGGAATGCATCCAGAAACTAAAAAATCTGAAATCTGATGACGTTCAAAGTCTAAAATGTTGTACTTACTTAAAATGTTACAATAATGATAATGTACAGGTTTTTTTTATCAAGAACTTTCAGAGTTGCCTTGAAGAGAGACTGTAGGGGTTTCAGAATGGCCTTTGAAGTGTGAGACCATGTGGTATGGCAGTAGGTTATATGGCTAAATATCATGGCACGCATATAGGTTTTTGCTGATTCAGAAGTCAGAGAGGGTCTTATATGTTTAAAGTTTGAAAGATTAAACCTAATTATGTTTGAGATTCTCTTTACATGCTGCTTAGGATGAATACTTTTTCAAGACATTGAATGTTTCTTTTTTCTGTGGTGTACCAAATCTTATGAAACACATCTACCATATAAATCAGCAATTTATAAAGCTTTATAGATAAAAAAAACATCTGTTTTTAAAGTATAAGTAAGCTTTAATGTCCCGGTTTACTCCAGGGGGAAGTTGGACATCCTGGTGAACCTGGGGATACTGGACCTGCAGGAGAAAAGGTAGCTGAACCACCACTGAATAATTATAAGAAAAGGATTTTAGTTTCTCTGGGTTCTGATTCACCTGCGTTCGCTGTTAACAGGGTGACCTTGGACCTCCTGGTTTGACAGGTCAAGAGGGTCCCTGGGGAGCCACTGGAGAAAATGGTTTCCAGGGCCCAAAGGGAGAAAAGGGCAACAATGGGCTAATGGTGAGCAGATATGTCCTCTTGCACCATTAGAAATATGTAGTTGTTCCTTTGCTTTAACAATTAAGATTTATGATGGTCCTTTTGTCACCATTATGACTTTTTTCTAAGACACTTCCTCAAAATGCATATATGATACAAAGAAATGACTCAAACACAAATATACAAAAAAACCAGAACAGGATTCTTAGAGGAGACATCTAAAAAAAACCATGTCCATGGAATGTAACCCCTATATAGAGCACTATATAGGAGTTGCACCATTTCATTAGCCTGACGTAGTCCTACTCAATTCTAGTCAGAATAAGTCTGATACTGCTCCACAGAGCTGTGATTATGGGGCGTGTTTTGAACGAACCAGGAAAAAAAATGCCTCTGCACTCAGTTGGATAGACCTACAACCAATAAGAGCAACGGAGTGTGTGATGTATGTTAAGCGACGCATAGTTGTTGTCAACAAAAATCAAAGCGTGCAGTTGCACGCCAACAATAAGAAGTTGAGCCTTGATCGCGTTTCTCTGTTCCTCTTTTAAAATTAATTTGCTGTCGATATCTTCTAGAACAGACCTAATAGCAGAATCTACTCACCTCAACTCTCCAGGGGCAGCCATTGTTGTTGTCACCCAAGCGCGCATTGGTCACGTGGTTGATTACGTTACTGTTGATCATCTGTCCATCATCGTATAAAGCCCGCCCTGACAATTTGATTGGATCGCCAGAGGGTGGGCGATCATACTCGCGCTACTATGGAGCAATGCCAGACCGAACTTCCCGACCTCAAACCTTGTGGGCGGGACTAAGTTCAGAATGGCACCCAGGCTACCATTTCATATGAGTGTCCAAACATTTAGTGGATGAAAAAGTAGTGGACTCAAAATGTCCCACTATGCACCTTGAAAATTAGTGTATATCAATGGTTCCTAAATGAGCACATCTATCCCAGAATGCTTTGCAAGAGCTCTACTCGTAAAGCATCATAAGATTTTTTTGGGAGGGAGAGAAAAACAGAGATGGTGCACGCACCGTGCGGGAAGCACATGACCAACAGGGAAGGAAAAGTAGTGATCATCTGTCCAGTCAGTTTACTTTAGACTTAGACAGATTTATTTTGTCATTTTATACACAAGTGTAAACAAAAAGTCATTATATGTCCCATTTACAGATTTAATGCATTATTAAAAAAAAAAGTTCCGATGTTGAGAGGAACGTGGCAACAAGCCGACCTCTGAGGCTAACCGCAACCAGGGCTAACTTTATCCCATCTGCAGCAGCCCTTTCTCAGCATAGCCATGTGTGAACTACCGCTGGCTCTGATGGCGGTTGTTTCTGTTTTATTTGGCAAAATGTTACTTTGATTTGTGTTTAGCTGACTCTGTTAATTATCATTCCCCCACTAAGTGAAAAAAGTACGCTTCTTTTCCAATTGACCCATGTTTAAGCTGCATGCTCACGTTCTCCCCGTGTGCATACTTTCATGTGTTCTTGTCAAGAACATACTTAGCGAGAGCACAAGTCTGTACTCGGATTCTTGTGGATTGAGAAACGGCCCTGATATGGAAAATGACATCCCACAATCCCCTGTGCTGTTTTAACAACCCCTGCTTAGTCCTTCTTCACCTGTGCCATGCAGCCGCCATGCCACAATGTCACACAGAGACACTGTTATTAATACATTTGAATTAGGTTATTTTTGAGTCAAATCTAAAAGTTTATGTTGATTTTTTTACTGAAAATTTAATCTTAGTGGTATTTTACCAGCAATTTAAAAATGATGAGAAGAAACTAAAATTAGCTATATTTGAATCTTCATTTGAATCTGCAATAGTCATAACCAAAATAATCTGTAGAGTTGAGTAAAAGTCTCCTGATGCTTTTAAACAGGGAGAACCTGGATTGATGGGGGAGCTGGGTCCTAGAGGTCTGCCTGGGCTCCAGGTAAGCCTGTCATCTGAATGTTGTTCTAACATAATTTACTCACCCATTGGACCAAAAAGACATGAGCTATCTTATGCTTTGCTTTATGCCGTTTCAGGGAATCCCAGGTCCTCCAGGACCTCCAGGACCCGATGGACCTCAGGGACAGAAGGTAACAGCATCAACACAGATCGAAGATGTTGTGATAATGTGTTTTTACCACAGAAGCTTACTCTCATGACCCCACCAACAAGTCCTGTAGGGCAGGCATGTTTAAAGTCAGTCCTCCAGGGCCGCTTACCTTTATCTGGTCCAGCACAGCTGGTTTTCATTGATGGGTGACTTACAGGCTTTTTCTGAAGTTTCATCAGAATCAGCAGTGCTGAAGCCAAGAAACATTTAAAAACCTGTAGGACAGTGGCCCTCGAGGATCAAATTTGGACAGGTCTGCTTTAGGGTAAAAACCTGATTGAAGTTTTCTAGTCCAGGCCTTATTTCTCTCACTTTAAAGTCACCCTCCTGTGACCCCCTTTTTTAAACTAGACCATTCCCTCAGTCTGCCTCCCCATAGGTATTGTTACGGTCCACCATGCGACATTCAAGAAACCTTGTCAAGCATTAAGGTCCCACAATGTCCAGAGTGTTCAGTATCTCATTTTGGGTCTCAACTACAGCTTCCTGTCGAGAAGCTTTTTTAACTACCTATAGAACAGTAATGTAATCACATTCTTTCAATTCTTCAGGCTCCAAATTAAACCTTGCAAATAGGTTCTGTCTGTGGGAGAGAGTCCAAATGGGGGCAGAAGATGTTTTTCAGTCATCAATGCACACGTTCAGCGACACACAGGAGCTGGGCACCATTTCATTCAAACCATCTGTTCCATCAACGAGGAATAGAATCAGAATCCCAGGGGAAAATTATTTTCATGACATTACATTATTACATAGGACTTGTTTGATTTAACACAATTTCATACAATATATATAATTAGGGAGTCCACACTCTCGCCAATAGTTTGGGGGTCCTTGGCCTCAAAAACGTTGAAAACCCCTGGTCTATGAGAAACAGACGCAACAATATCTTCAGGTTTTTTTTTTTTGTTTCAGTTTATTTATATAGCACCAATTCACAACACATGTCATCTCAAGGCAATTTACAGTTCACCAGATCATCCAGTCAAATTGATTCAAAGTTTTCTATCTAAGGAAAACCAGTTGATTGCATCGACTCATTGACTCGAAGGCAATCCCTCACACTTAAGCATGTTTGTAGCGACAGTGGAGAGGAAAAACTCCCTTTTAATAGGAAGAAAACTCCAGCAGAACCAGGCTCAGTGTGAGCGGCCATCTGCTGAGGCCGACTGGGGTTCAAGGAGACAGAAGCAGAGACACAAAAAGCAGCTGCAAAAGGCGGCCCGTCCAGGAAACACACAGCTAAGGAGACGAACTCCAAGCCAGCTCCCATGTCAGAGGGTGAAGAGAGCACATCCAGCCAGTCACGGTCAGAGAAAAACAGGACTCCAGAACAAAATAGTAGGCTCAAAAATGTACATCACAAAAATGGCAACAAGACAGATCCTACTACTACCAGACATAATCACCCCAGTTCCAGACTCTCTTAGGTTTAAACTAAATACCTAAATTTGAACGACAATAATAACCACACTGATATGGGGGGGATAAAGTTGCCAGTTATGCCGAAGCAGATGGAAATTCAGATTTAAAATAGGAAATGAAAGGCTCCCAGACCTTGAAATATATCTTAGCATTGCCCTGTGAAGTAAATCTAAGATGTTCCAATTTAAGATGTGCCATCACCTCCTCTACCCATCGTTTGTGAGTTGGCGGTGCTGCCTTTATCCAATTAAATAAGATCAGTCTCCTGGCCAACAATGAAGAAAATGCCATTACTTTCCTTTGAGCAGTCTTTAATTGTGTTTCTTCTGGTGCCACACCAAACATGGCTATCAGAGGAACAGGTTCAATGTTTTTTTTATAAATAGATGAAAAGGTTTTGAAGACTTTGACCCAGAATTCCTTGAGCCTGGGGCAAGACCAGAACATATGATATCTATGTGTTGGCTGCCACCTGTTTACATCTAGGGCAATTCGGATCAGCTCCCTGATAGATTTTTGCCAGTTTGTACCTTATAATTAATTTTATGATAAATTAACATTTTATTCTTCTGCATCTCATTAGGGGGAGCGTGGGCCGGTAGGAACCACTGGACCACCAGGATTAGAAGGTCCTCAGGTAGAGTATTGATTTCCCAGTCTGTTTTAGAGTTCCTCTTTAAAATCAAAAATCATATTTTATCCTGATGACTTTCTTAGGGATTAATTGGGCCAAAAGGGGTCAGAGGTGACCCAGGGGGATTCGGCCCAACTGTAAGTGTCTATTCATTTTAGAAATACAAATAATCTATAATGTAAATCTTAAGCTGAAGGGGATTGATGTATGTTTTTGTAATGACTATCGGGATGACAGGGACAAATGGGACAAGCTGGACCAAAGGGGGATGAGGGAGTCAAAGGAGACCCCGGGACATTAGGGCTGAAGGGTGAACCAGGAGTACCAGGCCCAGCAGGAGAACAGGTTAGTATGTTTATTTGTGTGTCCCTTCTTTTATTTATTCTCAACCAAGGGATTATAAAGTGCTCCTTCTGAGAGAGGGATGAGTTTGTGGAATTAAAATAGTATAATTGTGGGTCCATGCATGGGTGGCTGGATAGAATGACGGATGGGGGAAGACTTAAAGAGCAAGTGTTTGAAATGTTTGTTAATGAGGTGGTTTTGTTCAGCCACCCAGGTACAATGACCATATAAGCAAGCGTCAAACTCAGAAAGGAGCTGCTGCTTCAGTACATCTAAATGAGTCAGCAGAGACGGTTTGAGCTTCTTGTTTTTCCAAGCAGGAAAAAAGTGAAACTCATTAAAGAGGTTTAATATCCCTTTCTGCTGGGAAATTTGGGAATCCCTAAAAATAAGAGGGATTACTTTGCTCAGAGGAAAATGCTTTTTATTTGCTTTAATTAATAGCAAATAGCTTTTTTAGCTTATTCTGGCTTTTAAACAATTAACTGTTTTATTTGAATAAATTGCTCTGCCTCTGTTTAAATAAAGAACTAAATCATATCGAATGTCTGGGTTTAACTCCTGGATCTGAATTTAATGAATAAATAGCAGAAACCTATGGAATCTTTGCTCAAACAGATGGGTCGACTTTAAAAAATATATAGCTTATGATAAAACTTTACATTATAAAAACACTTTTATGATAAATATTTGTATGGAACCATGAACAAGCGTGGCCTGTAAGAAATGTATGATGTGTTTAGGGTGAAGATGGTCCCCCAGGAATCCAGGGCCCCTCAGGTCTACCAGGATTGGAGGTAAAGCCAATATTTAAGTATTATCAATAATAAGCTAAATTGGATTTTTTTTTCTGTAACAGTCTTTCTTTGTCCTTCATGACTGAATTTTAGGGAACTCCAGGAGAGCTTGGAGCTCAGGGTCCTCCTGGTCCTGCTGGGGCTCCTGTAGGTATCTAAAATACAGAAATGGTTGAATAAATAACCAGGTGGTTAGAGAGCAAGGCCTATAAGGTTGCTGGTATGAAACTCTGGCCACTGACTGACTCTCTAAGGTCAGCAGAGGTCTGTTTTTAAGAGACAGAGGACAAATTCTCCCCAATATGGGACTATGGAGGAATCTTTCATTTTAACAGCTGTATGGTGCTGATTATAGATAAAAGAAAGCAGTTGTAACAGCACAGTGAGTGATAGACTGGTATGAACACATACTAATAGAACCATTTTGGTTTGCAGGGGACATATGGTAAACCTGGAGCAGAGGGAAAACAAGGCACAAAGGGAGAAAAGGTGAGATTCTATAAAAAAATGTTTCTTCCAATATGTAAAAACAAGTAAAATGACAGTTAGATAAAAGTGGTAATGTAACATTTTCTTTGCCAAACTCTGGTGTCAGTGCATAAAGAGAGTGAATGAAGATTAAGTTGGTAATTTATCCAGTGAACAAGAGGAAAATCAGAGGAAATGTTACCTGAGTAAAAGGCAGAGACCTAGCAAACCGGCACAAAATGGAGGGATTTAAAAGCACCGTTAAAGCTTAGTTGTTTTATTTTACTGCTGCAGTGAAAGGCTGCTTGTTAGAAAAATGTATTCAAAATATTTACAATTTGGTAGCATTTACTTTGACTATGTAAAATCTTTACTTGGTCTGACCGCCATTGTTACAAATTCTTTGCAGTTAATCTAATCTCAGTTAAACAGCAGGTTATTTTGCACACAAAAGTCCCAGTATGCTCATAGTGAATGGAAAGAAAGTTAAAATTCTCAGCAGAAATCACAAGGGAGATTATTTATCCCAAACACACAGGAGAATTTGGTTGGAGGTTAATTTAACCTGATCTTCCAAAGTCCGAAGATGTTTTGTTTAAATTAAATGCTTTAGTTAAAAAAAAAGAAGCATTTTCCTACCCAATTAAAGTTTGTGGTCGCAAAAAAGACCTCAGGGTTAACTTGATATTCGGACTATTTATTCCCTGCTCAAAATGGATAATTAACATGAACAAATTAACAGTTAACGTTATTTAAATGTAACCTGACTCCACCAGATGGATTTGCTCCGCATATCCATCTGGAAACCTTCCGTTGAAGTAATTTTCAGAAGGGGCGAAAATACTGGTTAGCTGATTGGCCTATGTTGGTGATAGACGGGCCAAATAAACCAATCAGATCAACGAAGCATATGACATACTAACAGAGCGACGATGAAAACACAACCACAAGCCAGGCTACTCTTGCCGAAACCAGTCGGGAGAAGAGCAAAAACATCTTTTCCTCTGAGAAAAGCCTCCAGAGCAGTGTTTTGCTCTTCTTTCATTGAAGAAATACTCTGTAATTCCGATAAAACTTGCTCGATAGCCACGCTAACGCTAGTTTCATCGGCTGAAGCCGCCATGTTCTTTAGACTGAACTGTCGCGCTTCTCGTTGCGTCACACCTCAACCCGCCTCAAAGCCAACGCTGATTGGACGTTCGTTTGGTGAACGGCTCCAAATTTTCTTTAACGGAGAGTCTCCAGACTGATTAGCGAGTGAAACCTTGAAAGCTCGCGAGATCAGGATGGTCTCACGAGGCTAATTTAAATGATGAGCATCACCAAATGTTCACCACATAACTTCAAAAACATGTATTAATTTTTTTAACCCTGAATTCAAAAAAATAAATAATATTTACATAATCATATCAAAATAGGGAAAACTGTGTTTTTACTTCAATCAGAACTGCTCAACTCCATTGCCGTCCATCTTAGGTCATCATTAATGCTCCCGTTATCACTTCCGGGTAAGCTTCGAAAACATTCCCTCTCTTTCCGGTTGATTTTGTCATTTTTTATTTGTTTCCTGAAGTTTAAATTTGTTTCAAGATTTGTAAAAGTGTTTCAGATTTTGCTTTGTTGGTTTGCACTTCCTGAAAAAATAAATATTGTAGTAACTCATGTTTTTTTTTTTTTTTTTTTGTATCTTCATGAGTTGTAAAGCTTGTAGGTAGGAAGGTTCTTCTGTTGTTCAGCAGACCTGGACAAGCATCTGACTACCTCCACACTATTAGGCTGAAAAACAGACACTGAATAATTGCTTAGGTGTACTATATCGTCTGTGCATTTGACCATGACCTCAAAACACAGCACGACAACTTGAACTAAACCAGATTCAAATAAGGACTAATCTTTCCTTTTAAGAATAGAACCCACTGACATTTCAATAGAAAAGCATCGCTGCTGCGTGTATTTGTACCGCATAAACATATGTGCTCTGTTGGTTTGAAACCAATATTTTTATTGGACGGATGTATGTTGTAAAAAAATCCCAAGTTTGAGGAAACAATTGAACCTTGCATCATAAACCCTGAATCAACCGTAAGGAACGCGTTCTGGGTCAGCATGATGAATGTGGTAGAGACTCAGACACAGTTTTGCTGATCCTATATTTGCTTAATGGGTTTTACCAGCTCAGCTGATGCAGTTCAACCAAACCCCACAAAAGAATATTTGAGTCCATTTTAAATATATGCATTTTGGGTTTCACCTGTAATTTCCATTGAGGCTGAGGTAGACTATTTACTGTTTTTAATTGTACAAACTTCCATCCAGACGGAAGCCTTTTTTAGCTATTATTTCATAATATGTGTTTAAATTGATTTAAAAGTGTTCCAATTGAGTAGTGTAGTGGTAGTGTTTGAATTGAGTAAGGAAATAGTAGTGTTTGAATTTCTGTTGGTAATTAATATTTGCTGTTTTTTATTTTTTTTAAAAGAGCTAAAAACATAGATAATCCCAAAAGACTGCCTGTAATAATGCTTGCTGAGGGCTGTGGTTAATGTGGATGTTTATTTTTTTGTCCAGGGATGAGAACATTTAGCTTTACAATAACACAGATTTAAATTTTGTAGTTACATTTGGTGTAATTACTTTACTAATTACTAATTGTATTAGGCATGTAAGTTATCAATTGATGAATTAATACAGGATAAATGGTTGCAATTTTCTTCAAAATTATAGTTTTCTTTTCTATCAAGAGAATCTTTGTATGACATAAAAGCTAAATATTTTTTTTTACAATTTGCAGAGTTAAGAAAATATTTTATCATCCATTGCACCAACTGTGTTAAATGCTGACTAAAAAAACAAAATGTGTTCAAGCACATTATAAAACTTAATTTTAAGATTTACCAAAACATGAATCTATTAGAATATGTGAAAAACTTATAATAAAAGATGGGGTATGTCACCCTGACAACCTGTCAGGCTAGTTGTTACCTTGTTGGAACAAGTTGATGCTGAGATATAACCCTCTATTTTCAGTGTAATCCAACAATCTGGTGGTAGAGGCTTTGCCCTGTTCAAGTGGTTTTGAACAGGTTGTTCTGCTTTATCTTCCAAAAGCCTTCCCAATCTATTATGCTTGTTGCTACCATGTCGCCTTCCATCCATGTTACAGATCTTTGTGTAACACCTTCCACTTTATCATCACATCCCTACCCTTAGGGCAAAGCAAAGAAAGTCATGTATGACAAAGCAGTATACTGGGCACTGTTTAGATGATTATTTATACAGTTTTAGTGTTCATATTTACAAACAGAACCATTTAAAGTTCTTTCTGCATCCTTGTAAATAATCTTGCAGCAGAATCTCGATCAGTTCATGTTTTGGCTTTAGCATGCCTCCCTTTTCTCTATCTAGCATTACTTCTCTTGTACTAAACCACTTGTTGACAATTAATCATAAGTTGGTTATTTCTTTCCATTGCTGCTGCTGAACCTTTTTTTTAAACTTTAAATTGTAATATCACTCCTTTTTTTCTGGGGCCCTTGCTAATTAGAGGCCCTTAAAAATGTCCTAACTTTCCCTCACATGATGCCAATGAGTTCAGTTAAAGGAATAGTACACCCAAAACATGATTAGCCTTCATTTTCTACTCACCCCCATGCTGAACAACACTCTGGAGTATTTTTTTGATATCTCAAATGCATCTGGAGATCTGGGAGGCTTCTTGCTGTCTGCTGACATTCAAATAATGGAGGTCTATGGTGCCCGAGACAGAAAGGTCCATAAAAGTCCACAAAAACGTGTCAATATTCCTCCATACTGCTCGTCCAATGTATTCCAAGTGTCCTGAGTGGGTAGCATCCAGAATTTACTCGAAACGAAGTCATCTAGAATGTTTTTAGAGCATAAACAGTAGTGTATAGGATTTTCTGAAAGCGCGCACATAAGCGTTCACGACGCTACGGAAGCCGGCAGACCATTCTAAATGACTTCGTTTCGAGTAAATTCTGGATGCTACCCACTCAGGACACTTGGAATACATTGGACGAGCAGTATGGAAGAATATTGACACGTTTTTGTGGACTTTTATGGACCTTTCTGTCTCGGGCACCATAGACCTCCATTATTTGAATGTCAGCAGACAGCAAGAAGCCTCCCAGATCTCCAGATGCATTTGAGATATCAAAAAAGTACTCCAGAGTGTTGTTCAGCATGGGGGTGAGTAGAAAATGAAGGCTAATCATGTTTTGGGTGTACTATTCCTTTAACATCTCTTTACCCCAGATTTAGACCAACTTACTGGTCTAGTTGACATAAATAATTTTGTATTTTATTAGTCTGTGTAGGATATAGATTTTATAAAGGCCTAACTTGCCTTGTTCTATTTCTGGGTTTAAAAAAAAAAAAAACAGAAATAGAACATTACAGGATCAGATACAATGAGACTTTAACATATTAAATGTACGTTTTCTCTGTTTAACCTGTTTTCTTTGCTTATTATTTCAACAGGGAGATGATGGGGAAATTGGACCTCCAGGGAAAACTGGTCCCATTGGGAGGAGGGTAAGGTGACCCTGGTTTGATGTCGAACCAGTCAGTTTTCTTTTTCTCCAAATATAGAATGTCCAGGGAGTTGATCTCTGTTTTGAATTTTAAGACTGTCACTTTGTCAGTTTGGTGGAAAAAGAACTTCTTTTTGTGAAGCTCTGTGTCGTGTTTGCATAAGAGTAAAGATGTCTAAAAGCAGGTGTTCTGAAAGTCGCTGCACGCACAGATTAATGCATAAAACATGACATAGCTTCTTGCGCATTCCCCATTTTGACACGTTGACAAACAAACCAAACCTTTCCTCAGGGGAAACGGGGAAAGGCTGGAGTCAGAGGGACCAGGGGAGACAGAGGACCAAAGGTGGAGAATACAGAAACACTGCCAACATGGTTTTTGTGCACTTGGTGACATCGTATGTGACAGCATGTGGTTTTATTTCAATTAGGGTGAAAAGGGAGATCAGGGGACAACAGGCCTTCCAGGATGGCCAGGAACCATTGTAAGTTTATTTCTTTACTTATTTACCACACCGCCTCATTTAGTTATGAATAACTTTTCAGACATCTTCCTAACAGCCTTTGGATGTTTATCCAATTAATTTACTGTTGTTAATTTGTCTTACCAAGGGACTTCCTGGACTACCTGGAGATCTGGGGGAACAAGGCACAAAGGGAAATGAGGTAAACTAGAGTTATTAAAGTTGACGTGGATTCATTGGGTTGATGATGGCTTGATGCAGAAAGCAAATCTTTACTAAGTCAAACATAAAGTTGTTCCTCTCAAACCAAGTCTGCCTCTCAAATTGAGAGGGAAAAAAAACAACAAAACCGAGCAATAAACTGGGTTCAATTACATAAATTTCAAGATGGATAAAACAGCACTACTCTCCACATTTCCCCAGAAGTCTTCAAAAGTTATATGCATCTCTTTGGAAGTTTTCTTCTTTTTTTTTTTTTTTCTCAAAGTTTTCAGTACAACATTAATAACACAGAACAGTTCGACATAAAGAGCAGTTGGCAAAAATACAGCTTGTTGAAAGTAGCGATGGATCATGGACCATTTTAAAGCACAGCACATTTTAACCTGTAGGAGTCCCATTTTGACCAAAGTTTGTGAAAAATGTCAAGTTTCAAGTGAAGTAATTTGTTCCATGTTTCTTATTTCAGTCATGATTTCAATCCAGTTTGAAATCATGGGGGCTGACTGTGTCATCCATTTCTTAGTTAGGGCTTTTTGTCCAGCAGCAAGCATTATATTCCAAAGGTATTTGTTTACTGTGTCCATTGCCGGTGTTTTCAGTCCAAGGTACATGGTCATGAAGTTGAAAGGGATGGCGGCGTTATAAACCTTTGCATTACATTGTTCATGTCTTTCCAATATTTCTGGATAACTGGGCATTCCCAAAACAAATGATAATGATGCGCCTTTAGGCACCCACATCCTCTCCAGCATCCAGTGTTCCCTTGTGAATAATGAGCGCTTTGACATGGTGTTATAAAGAAACGTGCGATAGTTTTCCAGCTAAATTCTTTCCAGATATGTGACTTTGTTGTCTTCCATTGAGATAAACATACACTTTCCCATTCATCCTCAGTTAAAGTAAAAATACCTTCATTTTCCCACTTATTTTTAATATAGGTAGTAGAATGGTTGTCTGGGTTATTAATACAAATGTATAGTTTTGATATTAACCCTCTAGGAAGATTTGATTTATATGCTTTAATGAAGAGATCTATCAATGGGTTGTCGTCATTCTGCTTGATTTCTACATTGTAGTAATTTCTTATCTGTAAGTACCTATAGAAATCTTGATTCTCTAAGCCAAAGGTTTTTTTTTTCTTTGGAAGTTTTCAACATTTTGTCACCACTAAAAACATCAGTTTAGACTTTTATATCTTAGATCAACCCAAAGTAGTTCATTATTGAAAGCAAAATAAAAATATTTGTTTTCTTAACAGCAGACTGGTAAAAGAGAAAGGTTATAAAATATTATTAAAAGCTTTAAACATTTAACAGAGAGCTGTTCACCCAATCCTCTATGAACTTACGAAGTCAATGACCTAAAATGTCTGACAGGAGTAAATTACATGAACTGGTGTGAAGTTAAATGACAGAAAATTAAATAACTGCCTTATTTGTCTCCAGGGGGAAAAAGGAGACATGGGACTTCCTGGACCACCTGGACCTGAGGGCAAAAAGGTTAATTAAACTTAAATGGCAGAGTTGTTGACCTTTCCGTAGAGCAAAACTAGGGAGCATTAACTCATAAGGTTTAAATTATGAAAGATAAAAAATGTTTAATGTAGGCATATTAATGCTTTAAATACCACATAATGCTTATGAATTAGATTAAAGTATAAAAACGCTACCAGTAATTTTGTTATTGTGATGAATGGTGTACTTAAAACAACAGAATATTGTAAGGAAATTTTGGGAAATATTGTAAGCAGGTGTTTTCATATTGGAATTTACAGGGTAGTAGAGGTCCAGTCGGATTTCCCAGCCCAGCAGGCCAAAAAGGAGAACAGGTATATATATAACCCTGCAATTTATATTCATATCATACACGTATACCTAAAAAAAAAAAATATTATCATAATGTGAAAAAAAAAAAAAAAACTCTTTTCAGAAAGTGAAACCGGCATTATTACACAAAAACGTTTAATAATGGCTTACAGATACAGTAATAAAAACCTAAATTTCAATTCAGTAGAAAGAATTACTCAACGCAAATACAAATAAAAGCTATTTCATGTGAACATGATGATGATGATCCCACATTATCAAAGGGAAGAGTGCTGATTGGACAGATGTCTGTGATACCCCCCAGCAAGGATGGTACAGTAGCAGCCATTCAAAAGCCAGCCAAATGGCAGCAAAATCCCCTCCAACTTCCAGCCACTGGATTGACCACCTCCCTCACCTGGCGTGCATATTTTTTTTATTCTGGCTCCACCCTTTCACTGAATTATAGGGTCTGACCAGGAGATGACGCTTCTTGATGTTTAAAACAAGGAATTGTAGGGGACCAGCTAAGGACCAATTAAGGAAAGTGGGGAAATTTTTAATGGCTACTACTGCATAGCCTCAGAAAGTCACTGCTAAAGAAGTTGGTTATTGAAAGTTCTGGATTTAAGTATTCATTTAAAGTTAAGTGCAGCCACTATAGGTAAACCCCATAGAGTATCTATAAATTATTGTCAAGAGGAAGATCAGAAACAGCAGAGCCAACAATGCAGCCATAATGGCTACTATAAAACCAACCTTCAATTACACCTCTGCAGAACCACAAACAAGTATGAAATGCTCAGCAATTATTATTTTTTTGGAAACATTTTTTTTATGGATTTTCCTCTTCATGGATCTTATATTTCATTTTTTTCAAGCACAGATTGTTTTTTTCTTACCTAAAAATTGTGATAGTTACAAGTAAAAATAATAAAACTTAAACTCTTTCATCTGTATTGAATCTAATATCCTAACTTCACTTTCTGAAATGGGTGACAAAATATACTTACATTTTTTACATTTTATTTTGCAATATAAAATTTGTCTCACATGTAAATGTCAACCCCCAACACTTAAAAGGAAGCTTTCACTTTTCTTCTTCTGTGGTTGTTCTAGGGAAACATTGGTCCACCCGGACCCAGAGGCGCAATGGGGATGCCAGGATTACCTGTAAGATCATCAGAGTAAAAAGCATCATCTTTTAAAAAAAAAAATCATGAGTCACATAAGTAGCCATAGGCTACAGTCACTCTGCAGCCAAATACGCCCCAAAACCAGACTCATATCAGAACAATCTGAACTGGACATCTTGCATTTTATCAGACTTTTACAACATTGCCAGGGTTCCCACTACCCATCCCCAGAGACGGCAACAAGCCTCACTGATACATTCGCAAACAGCCGTTATTAGTAGTTGCACTGCTTTTTCTTCCCTTCCTTCTTTGTTATCAACATGATAGTAAAACTGTCAACTTTCATCACACGAGGTAAATAACACATTAGCTTGTGTCCCCGTCATGTTTTTGGTTAATTTAAACAACCGCAGCTTTACTTTGGTAAACAGTGCGCTGCTGTAAGGTGTCTGCATTCTTCTTCTGTCCCTGAACCGTTCAGATTGAAGTCTCATAGCGGTCGCATGATTCTACATAAAATGTGAACTGAGCACTGAGACCTGCAGTGTGACTGCAACCATAGAGGAAGCTACCTATCAGCCAACTCAAGTTTTCATTACGTCCTTATATAGAGCTGATTTTACTAAAAATGAATAAATGACCAAAGCGTTCTTCCCTTCTGCTCCCTTTATTTTTTTTTTTTTGCAGGGCTTGTTTGGATTAAAGGTATGGTGCCATCTACACAAACATACTTTGTAAACTTTGGATTTCAAGTTGCATTAATCATAAACTGCCACATTCACAAAAACATGTCAATGTCCAAACTGTTTCTAAGGTTTCCCATTGTGACACTTAACCCACCACTCTGCAGATGTAAAATCTCAGAGGCAAATCTATCCATTAATTGGTCCGGGTTACTTAGGTTAGAAAGTTGTGAGGTGAGATTAAGGCTGTTTCAGGTTCTGCAGCAAGTAGTATCTAGGAGAACCGTGGTGCATTTCATCATCCTCAGACTCTGAACTAAGAAGTCAGACAACAACAATGATCTGTAGTATATGAAAAGTAGCATATGAAAAGCATAAAACCTAAAAGTAGTACTTTAGCAGCTGACTTAGTGCATCATAGATCAAAATAGCCATAGTAGGAATGTTAAACCATTGATGTCCTCAGCATGTTGGTCTGTAAAAGCTGTTGATTGCCTTTTTTTTTTTTTTTCTTGACAGGGATTGAAAGGCTACCAAGGTCCATCTGGACTACCTGGAAGGAGAGGGCTCCCAGTAAGTTAACAAGGCTCTGAAATAAGGTCTGCCTGATTGTTATAGCCGAGTTAAAAATCAGATATGAAAACAAATAGATTCATATAGAAAACACTTAGAGGTTGGCATCAGTTTTAGTTCTGGATCTCATAAAAAAAAGTGCAATTAGGAAAAATGTTATGATAATTCAAGTTTTTTTACATCCTTGTAGACATTTGACAAGCTCTCAAGATGAACATTTATTTGAATGTATACCTTGCCTGGACATTTATGTTTGGAAAAGTATGACAATGAAATTGAATGCAGGAACCCTGTAGATGTACAAGTAAAACAGAAAGCAAAAAGATTTAGCAATGATCTAATTTTGAGTAAATTATTTAATTTGCAACAACTTGCAGTGATTTGAACCAGTCCCAGCAGTAAATGTATATATGAGAGCACCAGCAGACATTTAGTCGTCTCTTGCCATGTTGTACAGCCTTGTTTTATGCCTCATGTACTTCTGCAGGATGCTCTGTAATACAATAGTCAAGAAACAATCAAGTTTGCCTCCTGTGGCCTGTTCTCGATCTCTCATGCCTTTGGAAATTAAATCAACTAACTCTGAATCACTGGTGTGCTGTACATGTCTAAAACAGACCATTAATTCTGTGAGCTGAAGGACAGAAAACACACAGTTTATATATTTATTGATATATTGTTGTTAGCCTTGTGTCAGGATTTGGTTATGGAGTGTGAACCCAAAAGCAGAGGCAGGAAGGCAGAGGTGAATTTCATTTGATTTAATTGAAAAGGGAAACTGAAAACAAAGGCAGGTTATCCAAAAATCCAATAATGAAAACAAAGTCCAAACAAGCATGAAATCAGGAGTCCAAAAATCCAAAGGAATCAAACATAAAAACTAGTCAAAACGAACCAGAAACCGTGGAGACATCAGGGGAACCACTGTCACAACGAGAAAGACTCAGGAAGACGGAGTTGGAGGAAGTTTGACGAGGACCCAGCAAAGGGGAACTGAAGAGAGAGGGCTTTTAAAGGAGACAGAGACAAACAGGGGGCTAATGAGGAAACTGGGAGCAGGTGTGCACAGAACAAGAGGGAAAGGGCTAGGGAAGAAGGAGAACACAAGAGGGCAGCAGAGAGCAACAAATAGAAACCTTGAAGACTGGAAATAACAACACAATGTTAAATTACTAGGACTATAAAACATGGAGAAAGGAAAACTAAACACTCAAAAGAAAACATAACAGAACCAAGACTAGGACAGTAACTGGAAAAAACCAAAGAACTCAGCAAAATAAAAATAAAACCACTAACACTAGAAACCATGGAGTAAAGCAAGACTGAATACTATAACAGAAACCTGACACCTTGCAGTTTGGCGACTGAAATATTAGAATATTGTAATTTTTTTTTATCTTAGCATTTAAGGGACATAACAGTTTAAATCATTTTTTCCGCAAATGTTTCCTCATGCTTAGTCATTGAAATGTTCCTAAAATTAATATTATTTAATATTTAAAGACCTGATCATATGTTTCAACCTTCTGTTTCAGGGTCCACCAGGCGTTCCTGGTCCCCCAGGAAAGTCACTAAACATGACTTTGGCTCAACTCAAGGCAAAGCAGTTTTTATATATCACATGTGACCATTGCAGCTGTCAAACTAATATTTTATATTTGGGTTTCGCCCTCTCTTTTAAAGAATTGCATGTCAAAAACACTCATCCTAACCCAAATTAGTTTATAGAGGAACTATAGCCACTGATAAATGAAGACACTAACTTGTATTTCTGCCATGATAGTTTTGAAATATCTTTTTTGAACTAAACACTCTTTCCTTCCTCTTTGTCTTCTTCCTCCCATCCACAGAACCTCATGTACATGTCAGACAAGCCTAACTTCTCCCTGATCCAGATGCTGCTGGACTCTCTGCAGCAGGAGCTTCGGCTGCTGCTGGATCCTCCTGATGGCAGCAAGGAGCATCCAGCCACCACCTGTCTGGAGCTCTGGCTCTGTCACCCTGAATACAAAAGTGGTGAGAAACGGTCAAACAAGTGAGACTGTATGATGTAATGTTAGTCCTTTTTTTACAGTGTCCCGTTTGGCGATGTGGCAATAAGAATAAGTGTCTTGATGCCAAAAAAAGGAGCCCATACTGCTTTCACAAGTTTAGCAGTATGGCTATAGCCATAGTGTTCCGCTTGATTTATGCATATAAATAGCTTTATTATTAAATAATGCAGGGAGTATTACAGATTATATGGACACTGTAATGTTAGTAGAACAGGAAAGGAAAAACAGAAAAAAGGAGAAAGGATATAAGAAGGAGGCGATAAAAGGGAGATAACGATAAAATATGTCTGCTTCATCACCTGTAAAGAGATGTAAGAAGAACAGCACAACCAACAAGTATAAGAGATACAATAAAGTAACGCCTTGATACTATCGCTGAAGTATAAGTAGTATTATTTAATCTGAAATGTATACTGTGGTAGCTGAAGATCAGAATGTTAGTCCTTTTAAGTGTTTGGTTGTTATTTTTTATTTACTAAATGAATGTTCGATGCATCAAGGGTTTGTTAGAGGTTAAAAACTCGTTTTGCTGGGTGTGGCAGTGGTGTAGTGGTAGACACACAATCTACGGTATATACAGAGCCCTTGGTCCTCGTTGCAGCAGTCCAGAGTTATAATCCCAACACAGAGAACTTTGCATGTCCTCCTCCTCTGTTTTCTTTTCCTGTGTGTCTACTATCAAATAAAGGCCATTAATGTTGCAAAATAATACAGTAGTAGCCATTCAAAATTTCCCCACTTTCCTTGATGGACCCTTGTAGTGATGGAACGGTTTATGAAAACTGTCCGAACCGTTCGGTTCGACTGTCTCGGTT